CCTGATGAGAATGGCAGAGATTTACCTCTGGGTGTGAAAGCAGTCTACAAGCACTTTTATATGGATGATGGCCTACCATCAAAAGATTCTCGTCAAGAGGCTATTGAGATGCGGAAGCAGATGACGGAGTTACTACGCCGTGGAGGTCTCCACTTGCACAAATGCTGACGAATGACCCAGACGTTTTGGCGACCATCCTGGAGCAAGATAGATCTCCGAGATTCCTCGAGCTGAGTGAAGACAAGTTGCCAACAGAGAGAACTTTGGGCGTCATTTGGGATGCCCAGGAGGATATGCTCCGGTTTACCGGACTTAAGGGTGATCCAGGTACAACAAAGAGGAAGATCTTGAGCCAAGCATTCTCTGTTTGGGATCCACGAGGACTCCTCCTCCCATTCACTATCAGAAGTAAGATCATCTTGCAGAATCTGAATCGTGTGAAGTACGGGTGGGATGATGAATTGAAAGAAGTTGATCTTCAAGAGTGGTGTGAATGGCACAGGGAAGTTGAGAAGTTTGACAAAGTGAGAACTCCAAGAACTTTACTTCAAGAACAGAAACCTATCCGAGAAACCGCAGTTCACGTATTTTGTGACGCCAGTCAGGATGCCTATGGCGCATGTGCGTACCTAAGACGTGCGTATACAGATGATACAGTAGAGTGTGGTCTTATTGCGGGAAAAGGCCATGTTGCCCCTTTAAAGTTACAGTCTATCTGCCGACTGGAGCTCATGGGAGCTCTAGTAGCCGTGCGATTAGCTCAAACACTGGTGAAAGAAATGACCATTAAGATAGAGAAGATAATCTTCTGGAGTGACTTCACCACAGTCTTACATTGGATCCACCAGATAAGTTCCACATATAAAGCATTCATCGGCAACCGGGTGTCTGAGATTCACACAGTTATGAGCAATCTGGAGGTCACACTGGGGGCAGGCACAGTGAGTTGGAGATATGTACCTACAGAGGTAAATCCTGCAGGTCACATCTCCCGTGGACTAAGTCCTACAGAACTTTGCAGGGTTTTCGTTACAGTAGTGGACCCAAGTTCCTGCATGAATCAGCAGAACTGTGGCCAGACAATAAAGTTGAAGCACCCTCCGAGATAAATGAAGCAAATGAAAGGAAGAAGGGAAGATGGGCTGGAGCATCTCAGGAGAGTGAGATCCTGTTAGGATGGAAGAAGTATTCTTCTCTGACCAAACTAAGAAGAGTTACAGCTTATGTGATGCGATTCGCAAACAAGGCAAGAATTAAGAAGGAAGTGCATCTACTGGGAACACTTACTTCCAGTGAACTGAGAGCTGCTCAGAATTATTTGGTGGAGGGCACAATTTGAGTCATTCAGCGAAGATATACAGTGTCTAGAGATGGGTAAGGAGATCCACAAGAGAAGTAGAATCAAATCTCTTGATCCGCAGATGGAAGATGGATTCTTAGTTGTTGGTGGAAGACTGCAGAGAGCACAATACTTACCATACAAGGTACGACATCCCAAGATAATTGACTCACGCCATGAGCTTGCACAGCTAATCGTTGAGGAAGTACATCGTATCTACTACCACCCGCCAACTGAACACTTGCATAATCAAATCAGGCAGGATTATTGGATCATTCATGGTTGTCATGTGGTGCTGAACGTGAAGTTCAAGTGTAACTACTGTTTTCCCCAGACAGTAAAACCTCAAGAGCAACGAATGGGAAGTCTACCTGAGTGCAGACTTGAGTCAGGAATGGTGTTCAGGAACACTGGGGTTGACTTTTTTGGACCTATGTTAGTTAAGGAGAGACGCAATGAGATTAAAGTGTATGGTTGATTGTTCACTTGCATGAGCACAAGAGCATGCCACCTCGAACTTGTGGATGATCTTTCAACAGATCATTTCATTATGGCATTGAAGAGATTCATTGCGCGACGAGGACGACCGCAGAGCATCCACAGCAATAATGGAACAAACTTCGTTGGTGCAAATAATGAGTTGCAGAAATGCATTAAACTACTGGATGAAGAAAGAATACAAAACTTCTGTGCACCCAAGGAAATTGAGTGGAAATTTCAGCCTCTTAGCGCCCACACTTTGGAGGAGCGTGGGAGAGACTGGTACAGTGTACAAAGAAGACGCTGAAGGCAATTCTGACACACATGACAGTTTCCAAAGAAGTGCTAAGAACTGCGCTAGTTGAAGCAGAAGGTATACTAAACAGTTGACCGATTACTCATGTGTCCAATGATGCAGGGGATATTGAAGCATTAACCCCAAATCATTTCTTGCTGTTGCAGTTGAATCCGAGTTACGAAGATGCGGAAGTTAGTGATAGAGAGATCAACTCAACGAAGATGTGGAGACGGTCCCAAGCGCTAGCAAACTTCTTTTGGAGACGTTTTACCAAGGAATACCTTCCTAGCCTCACAGAGAGGAAGAAGTGGAAAGAGAAGAAACAGAACCTCAAAGAAGGAGATGTTGTCCTAGTTGCTGAGCCAATTCATCCGCAAGGAGTATTGCCGTTGGGCAGAATCGTATCAACTCATCCTGGGCGAGATGGGTTAGTTCGAGCAGTTACAGTCCACACTCAGCACGGAGTACAAGAGACCGATTACTAAACTTTGTTTATTAGAGGAAGCGGAAGTGTAGAACTGTTAATCGTCTCGACAAACGTTGTGTCTCGACTAGGGGCGGGGATGTCCCTCCCGCTTCCTGTACATTTATTTATCTATTTATTTTTGCATTGCTATGTGAATTGACAGGTCGGTTCGTTGCTATGGGCTAGGGGCGAGTGTTTTTCTACAGCAAGTCGAGTTGAGTTTCGGAGTATTGTGAGCGAATAAAGTGATTAAAATATACAAATATCGAACCAGCCGAGTATAATTGTCGTTCGTCGACAGCAATCAAAACTTGATAATCTTCCCAATAATTTATTTCAAGTGAAGAAGTTATTGCTTACATTGACCAATGTAAGTTTAAAAGTGCACATACTCACTGCTGCCTTTCGAGTGTTGTTAGTGAGCATATATTGACAAATTCTCAATTCAGATTCTTTCAATTTTAGGACTAAAGCTATTCAATATGAATGTTGATGCTCAGTAAGCTAAAGCACTCAAAGATGGTGAAAGTCTTCTACTTTCTGGCCATGTTAGGGACCTGGAATGCATAGAATCAGTCCAAATCTCAAATACTGTTTTATTCGAGTTGTTGTCAATCCAGCAATGTCTAGAAATAATGATCCTTACAAAGTGTGGCTGTTTCTTCACAAAGAAACATCAAAAGTTGAAGCAGCATATTGTGCATGTCCTGCAGGGTAAGTTAATTAGCTCTTATGAAAACATAATATCAAATTATCACCTTGCTTTTGTTTTAAGTAACCAATGTTACTCAAAGTTTGTTAAAGTTTCTTCACACTGTCCTACATTTAGTTCTTTTATCCATTTTGTTTTATTGTTATTATCGCATATTTTATGACAATAGTACTATTTATAGTAATATTTTATAATTGTACTTTTTTAGTCTTCAGTATGGTAGGTTATAAAACTAAAACACAAAAAGACATGCATTTTCATATGAATGATTCATATTACCACTCGGTCATTAATACATGTTTTTTTCTAATTTTTTCATAATTATCTTTGGTAGGTTGAGGGGATTTTGCAAGCATGTCATGGCTTTACTTCATCTTACTGTAAGAGAACTAGAACAGGGTTGCAACAGTGCCTGCACTTCAAAACCACAAGAGTGGCACAAGCCAAAATCAAAGGGAAAAATTCATGACACAGAATTTGTCAAAAATATTGCCATTTGCCAAGCTAAAGGACAATTAATTTTCCCCTGATGATTTTGTGAAAAGCTCTAGAAGTAGCTTTGATCCAAGGACATAAAAGCATAGAAAAGAGAAAAGTCTATCAGACTTTAATCTTGAAAGGTTAAAAACAATTACAGGTGGAAACTGTGCAGTCTTACTTTACACCCCTGTCAATGATACAAGGAAGAACATCTGTCACAAGTCTACAGAGGAGCAACATTCAAATATACAAGTGCAGAGTATTCCCAGTGTTGCAGATGAGACTTAACACATTACCTGGAATTTCATTTGAAAACTTTGAGAAAACTTTGAGAAAACTCTGTCTGAAAACATCCAAATTGATCAAGAAACAATAAAACATGTTGATTCAACCAGAAGCCAGAGTGCTTCAGATGTATGGTCACTGTTGTGAAAGGGTAGAATCACAGCATCAAGAGTTTTAGAATGCACTCCGAAGGTACGTGATGATGGCAGGGTGTTACAAAAACGAAGACCCTCGAAAACGAAGACCTAAGACCTGAGACCCGGTCTTCATTTTCGTAGTACGAAAACAAAGACCCTGTAAACAGAAAACCATAGAAATTACAACTCAAACAGACATTAAACAGCAACAATGCTTCATTACACTTCACGCGTTTCTTCCATTATTATCCAGCCATCTTATTATACGGCCCGTCTTGTCTTCTGTTTCGCTATGCGAGCCAATTTGGTGTTGATATTCTTGAGGGTTTGCTCGGGTAAACTTACCACACATAGTTATTATGGAACAGCAGGCAGAATTCAAATGCTAGCCGCCTTTGATTTATTGTTAGAATTCTGTGACAGAATAACAGAGAAGGCGTTCTGTACAGGAAAAATGACTCTTGGGTTCTGTCAATAAATAATCAATTTTTACTGTATTTTGTAGCTAAAATAGATTCTGAAGGTCATTAAGCTTTCTCTGCTGGAAAATTATCCTTAAAAAGTAAGCAATTCTTTTGGCTAATGCAGGGTCTTCGTTTTCGTACTATGAGGACCCTGCATTAGCCATTAGTCCGTTTTGTTTTTGGTTCCACCAATATTTTAAGCTGTGCTCCTAAAATTTTTCGCTGTGCGCCTAGAATTTTAGCAGTGTGCCTAAAAATTTACACCTGGTAGCACAAGTGCTCCCAAAGCCAAAATTAAACTTTGAGCCCTGTGTCCTGGATTTTAATGCTAGATTTGTATATTTTACTAAATTTATTTTTGTCATCGTATTGTAGACTAACCCAATTATTGGCCGGTCTGACATGAAAACAAGTGCAAACAACAACTTGGCCATCAACTTTTAACTGCAAACCTAGGAAGTCTTTTCATATGGACAAGCACAAAACTTTCAAAGCCAAAGCAGAGACATCAAAGATTACTAACTACCAAAAGAAAAGAAACAAGTGAACGTCAGACAATGATACACATCAGCAAGAGAACAAAACTTTAAAATCCCTTAGAAAATGAATCAAATTTTGATGTTAAACCTCTAAATGCCCTTGCTGATGAAAAATCATTTTCAACTGTTAAAATAAAGCTAACACTAATGTACCCAGCAAGTAAATCTCCAAGGTAGAATCACATTTCAAGAAGGTAATTGAAACGCTATTGAAACATTAATTGCAAAAGGACAAAAAAAACAGAGGCATATCTAACTGATGATACTGCACCCATCACGTAGTATTACCAATGGCCAGTCCCACCAGTTAATGAGACTTCAGGTGAGGTTATACAATGATGCTCCTTATGTTACACCTAACAATCAATCAACTATAAATCCACAAAAATTAAAAATCAGCAGATCAGTCAATGAGCAGGTAAAATCACAACATGAACTCAAAACTGTTTCTTCTGCCAGCAGAGGGGGTTCAAACCATCACAAGATATTAAAACTCTCATCAGAACATAGATTCTCCCCTATCACAAGGTACCTTTCTTGCATTTCCTGTAGAAGCAGCATAGAAGAGAAAGATAAAAATGTTTTGAAATTTGTAGAATGTATTCTTTCTCAACCCAAGCAGAAATGCTGCACAGGGATTTATGCAAATGCTACCTTTAAAACCAATACCGAACAAATTCTATCACATGACCAGAGGCACAGGGATCCCATTAGATAGCACAGCGCATGCATTAAGTCATTTGCACACATGGGTCTAGTACAGCAAAATACTTTTCTGGATACTCCATAAAATTTGTCTTAAGTCTAACGTAGTTGGATTTATTTATCTACTAGCCAACGTAGTTGGATTTATCTATCTACTAGCCAACGTAGTTGGATTTATTTATCTACTAGCCAACGTAGTTGGTT